TGATAGACAAAACGATGCAAACGTGAAGCTTGACCAGGGAAGATTCCGCGCACCGTCRACAGAAATCTAAATAAACAACATAGTTTATAATAAGAGAGAAAGATTTAGGATTAAAAATAGGAAAGAATGAATAAGAAGAGAAAAGAAAACTGATTGATGTCAAAATTTAATAGAAGTAGAATAGGGAGCGTAGCAATGGATTTTTATCTTTTTGCGGGATCCCTGTGATGTTTTTTTTTTTCTGGTTTTGGCCTATGCCATATATAGAGACAAACAAGATGGCCGATTTGTGATAAGTCTTTTCGCTATCTATAAGTTTCAAACGATTTTTAAAGCTGTAAAAAATACAAAAATTCGCCAGAAACGAGTCCACGGTGAAGACAACGTTTTTACGCCTCTTCACTGATATGTGAGAAATGAAAAAACTGGATAATAGAAATGGAAGAAAGGGATACAAGACAAAGATAAACAAAGGATTTGAATACCTTCAGTCCGTGCATAGGATGATAGAGAGATACATAATTGATATCAAAATCCGAAGGTGCAACATCAATATCACGTGTCAGCTGGGTCTAATAGTAAAAAAAGTTATTAATAATATATCGTATAATTAACAGAATAAAAATTGCTTGATATCGAACCACCTTCAAATATTGTTTGGCGAGCCAACGCATTGCCTACATGTTTTTTTTTAACCGTTGTCGCTAAAACTATTTCATGTAAAGTGAAACCCCGCCTTAAAGCCGCTTAATGCGGGTTTTTTTTTTCGGCACATTTTAACCCCATACTTTTCGACCCGATTAATAAGGCCACTCCCGTTAATACGGTYACTTTTCGATGTCCTGTCGGTGGCCGGAATAATTTCACTGTAAAGAGCTCAAACTCAAGAAGAGCTTATTGTGTAATGTTCTTTTAATATTCAGTGCTGATTTTGGTTAAAAATAATTTTTTTAATACTATATTATATGAGCAAGAACATAAACACTTTGTTTGTTCATCCAACAATCTTTTACCATCCAAAGATGTCTGATGGTGTTTGGGAATCAAACATTTAAAGTCTTTACCTTGATCCAGCTAGTAATCACTTCGTCTTTCTTCATATTTCTGTCCTGACCAAGGGCTGTAAACTGTATCGCTTCCCGTACAGTAACTCGTTGCCTAGATACCATGTTATTGAGRATCTGACACTCTCCAAGAGATGGCTCGCAGGATAACGAATAATATACTCCTGTACGTCAAGAAATAGAATAAGTATAATAATCGATGGTACGCTGTTTTTGTGGCGACGAGAATGGGCAATGTGTGGCATCTCCATTTTGCGCAACAAGGCATGAAGGGAGTTGCATTTTCTTAAAAATCTCGTTAAATGCCATTTTCAGTCTTCTTTTTGTAGAAATGGCACAACTATTCTTGTAAAGAAAAATATTAAAAACAAAAAACAAAACAAAAAAAACTCGGGATGACTGTTTCACGAACATGAGAAAGTTTGAAGACAACAACTSCCATCATGCTTTGTTAAACAAAATGACGTCGATTGGTCTAAATTCAGTGACTATTAAGACCTATTACTATTATTATACCTTCTTCGTATCGAGGTTTAGGGACTACAAGCCCTTCCTCCTCCCACTCATTTTCATCGAATTGAGATATCTAGAAAACAAGAGCAATAATGCGTTAGTWAGCCTGATTTTCAGACGGGACTGGATCCGACGATAACACTTTCGGCCTCCCCAAGCCTTAACGTCAGACCATCAGGCAATTGTGAAAATGGGAATACGTGTTAGTTTGTATAGTTAAAATGACAGGTGAGACTTGATTGGCTTGCTTCCATGTTTATATAAAAACCTAATTGAATACTTAATAAAAGATACAGGCTCAGTGTGTTAATGGATTTGTTCTACGATCATAAACACGATACGAAATGGATAAAATTCCAGAAGCAAGAAGCACTTCCTCACGCTTTTCATCACGTGGTTATCGTCAGAGGGCTGTGAGTTGCGCAGCCCATTTACATTGAATGATTCATATATTTTTTACCTCTTTGGGTCTTCCGTTTGGATGGCAAACAGCACGTACAACCCTGACCAACAGACTGGCGCATGGTACAGGCCTAAAGTAAAAAAAAAATCAATAATAAAGAAAGAAAGGGAAAAAGAAAGAAAGGAAGGGAGAAAGGGAGAAAGAAAGGGAGAAAGAAAGAAAGAACAAAAATAGATACAATAACTAACGGACCTTGGAGAACAAAACTGCCGTATTCAAATTCCCCCACCATCCCTCCCCTATTTTCTGTGAGTCCCTTATAAAGATTTTCTTACGCAAGGTTTGATATGATAGAGGTCCCCAGAGGCTGGCTAAAGTCAGGAGATCCATTATAGATGCGTAATTGATGTGCTCCATCGTTGAGAGCAACCTAAAGATAAAAAGCAAATTACGATTTATAATATTATGATCTATTTTTTCTTTGAAGAGCCTCAATGAATCAATGAAACAATGAACCAATCAATCGATCAATCTTATTGTACACTTGATGGTTTTCAACCATTCCCATGAGAGTGAGCAAAACAAAAAGGTCCACCAGTCACGGTGGTGGTTTTCTTTTGTCAGGTCCACCAGCAATGGCGGACATCTTTTGTTCAACTTTCTCTTCTGGGAATGGTTGAAAACCATCAACATTGTACATGAGTTCTAGAAAGTGCAACTCTGCGCATTGACGACGATAGTATCTTTTAATGTCGATTAAAATACCTTTGCCGTATCACTGTTGTTTTCTGGTGGATTGGTTGTTCCAAGCATTAGGAATATCGGCAAAACTGAGAAACCAATACAAGAGAGTTTCTTGGTGACACGATCAACAGAATAAATCTGGTAGAAAAGAAAAACAAGCAAACAAATAAACCAGTACAATAGTCTCCTTCACGGTTACCTGCGCCATCTTGAAAGGTANAATATACTTAGCAATGTTCTTTTTCTTTTATATAGCTGATAGAACTAGTGCCTGGGAGTGGAGTCTTTCTTTCACGCACAAAGCTAGCTTTGTGTAAGACAGGAGCTAAGACAAAGTCTTCTCTTGCTTGCCAGCTTATGAGGGTCTTCTTTACAGATAAAGACCTCATTGCTGGTAAGATCTCAACAAGTGGCAAAGAAGGCCATTTGTTGAACCAAAACATCATTACCACAATAAAAGGTAAGGCGAATATGTTTATAAGACAATGATATTGGGTACTGGCATCTCGATTGTACCTAGCTTGCAACTACTATACACTCTGTAACATATATTATTACACCTGGTACATATAATTGCTGATTGTTTTTAAGCTAATTCTCTAAAGCAAATAATTGAATGGTGAAATATTCCATGATTTCAGTGTTCAGTTTCCTTTATGTTATGAAAGTCCAATCTTTTAATATGCCATGACAATATGATGTCAAGGCTTCATCAGATATATGAACTTTGAAGTATTAATTAACACACTCAAAGACTTTTTCTTGACTTAGCTACCATCTGAAATATTGGAATCCCAACATTGCCATAATAAATATAATTGTCATGAAGCTATTTGTAAGTGCCTACTTTAAAGTTTGTATTTAATTAATGAAGCCTCCCTTGACGCATTATCGTTAACATATTGTAAGATTGAACCTTTATAACTCAAACATGCAACACATGAAGGAATAATCACTATTTCGATTAATATAATAAACTATAGGAATCAGCTTACAGAGAATCAGCACAATTATATGTGGATATATGTTTTGACAAAGACTTTAAACTATTTGATATTAAACAATAAATTTGATTTAATCACTTCAGCATATGCTGGAAGACAAGATCTGCCATGTGGTGCAAAGAAAGGAATTGCGCATGCAATGACCATGTCCATCAAAAATCTTAGAAGATGTGACCAGAAGAAAAGCAAAATGGGAGAGAAAGAAATTGGTGCTGATGACCACTCAAAAAACATGGAAACCATGGACTCTACTGAGTCAGAATCTGAGTCAGAATCTGATACAGACTTCAGTGATGAAGATTTTGACTGTTAGATGAAGTACAGACATTACCAAATAGTTAATTATTATTCTGACCATGAGCATTCTGAGTTACAAAACCCATACTACAATTAAAATTTATGTGCATCAGTTTGGTAATGGCTATTAATTATAATTATTATAGAATAATGCCTCATATNATCTCATTGTACAATAACATTGTACATGAGTTCTAGAAAGTGCATCTCTGCGCATTGACGACGATAGTATCTTTTAATGTCGATTAAAATACCTTTGCAGTATCACTGTTATTTTCTGGTGGATTGGTTGTTCCAAGCATTAGGAATATCGGCAAAACTGAGAAACCAATACAAGAGAGTTTCTTGGTGACACGATCAACAGAATAAATCTGGTAGAAAAGAAAAAGAAATCCAAATAAATCATTACAATTGTACGATGAGCCACAATAGCAAGCTATAAGTGTTCAGATATGGTAGGATAAATGTTTTATTGCGTTTTATCAGTTTATTACGTCGAACAGTAATAATCTCCTTCATGATTTCCTGCGCCATATTGAAAGGTAGCCTTGCATTCATATTGAAGCGAAACGACACAGACTCGTACCTAGTCGTTACTCATCTTTTTCTCTGGCGCGCGCAAAGGATCAAGGGAAGTCGGAAGCAAAAATAGCTTCTCCCTGGTAGTTCGGACTTCCCTTGATGCAACGCGACACGGAAAACGAGAAAGAGAAACGACTGGGTACGAGTGTGGAAACGACCGTTGAGCTTGCAATGATATGAACCTTTTTTCACAACTACAGTATCTGACCTTTAACTTGCCACAAATATTGACAAATTTGAAAATGATCTCAACAAACCTTAACAACAAGCATAGATGTAATATTGAAGATCGGTTCTCGAAACTCCAATCGACAGTCGAACTCTGGATTGTAAATATCGGAATACAGCTTGGACTGGACTTCTACATCGGGACCGACCCTTAAACAAAAGAAAACAGTTCGTATTTATTCATGACATACAACAGGGGGCAATAGTATACGGAGAGAGAATGGCTAGGCTCAGTCTCCAGCCGTCGGGATTTCGTGCGCCCGCGATACTCTCTCCCCTGACGGCTGGGCGCATGGGGTTCGAAACGTGTCGCGCATGTCCGTGACGTTTTTGTGTAATTAGCATATTATGAATAACGGAAGTGAATTTTTCAGTGAACGGAAGTGAAATATCTGACAACAGCCGTATTAAAAGGTTTTGCTACAAGGCGGGAAATTATGTGAAATGAAAACTTCGCGAAGTGGCGATATAATGTAATAGTTAGCGCTTTAAAAAAGAGAAAGGAATGGAAATTACCCCAAGTAAAACATGTGTAGGGTTTAATAATCCAAATGGATATATTATCTGCCAGAAAGACGAGCAAAATACACTAGTGGCGCTGTTTGAAAAATAAGAGATTTGCCCGAGCCAGTAGGAAGAATAACAAGGACATCTTTTCCAAGAACAATCTCTTTAAGAGCCTTTTGCTGTATTTCTCTAAATTCGTCCAAGCTAAACGACTTCAGAGCGTTCAAACGAGAATCTCAAAAGACGAATTGTCCGCCATTTTGTTACACTGCGACGACGGCTGCCTGCTAATTTATTAATGATATGCCCCTGAAAATATCGGGTGCCACTCGCTGATTGGTCGAGACTGACAATAGCGAACCCCATGCGCCCAGYCGTCAGGGGAGAGAGTATCGCGGGCGCACGAAATCCCGACGGCTGGAGACTGAGCCTAGAGAATGGCTAGCTCAGAGAATTTAGTAAATAGGGCCCTCATTAACATAAACGATAAGGATGGGAGCACGGTTTGATAAGTTCAGGTGCCCGGCGACATCCCTTTGGAATTGGGAGGCCCCGGGCACAGGGATCCCGTAGAGTCGGGCCCAGTATTCTGACTCGGCCATTAAGAGGCACAAGAAGCCGGATCGTCTCTCTTCGCATACTACTGAGGGCGGTTGTTCGTAAAGTGAATAGTGCTATCCACCGGACAAATCCTTATCCAGCGGATAAAATCCATACAAAATCTAAGCAGTGGATTATTTTATCCGCCCTTCCTACAAAACCGGAAATACAGGAACTAGGTATTCCGTTAAGGAATTAAACTTAAAATAGCGTTATTACAACGGAAAAATAGATATTCTTTAGACAATAGACTTCTGAACCTTTTACGTCACTACTTGATTTGCAATGCATTGTGGGATCAGTTTCTAGAGAAAACAAAAGAAATCCGCCATTTTCTGTCCCAAACATGTCGTATAATGCATTGCATATACGGTACATGACGTAAAAGCTGCAGAGATCTATTAGGCTCAATACATACTTCTCATAATTTTTGTCCATAACACGTCCAGCGACCTGCAGTGATAAAATAAGAAGAAGCCTTGAAAAGAAAATTTTAGATTTTTTGGTAATCTTCGCTTTTTCACTGTTTTTAAATCTGTGCATAGATTTGAACGTCCTTGTGCGCGGTGACAAGTTCTAGTATAACAAACCATGATGGAAGTTTATTTGCAATTTGTAATGTCCGCTAAACGTTGGATGCCCAATTCCCATCATGCTTTGCTGCAAAAAATGAGTAGTTACACACTATGCATTGTTAGTTTATTAGACGTGTGTTCTGTCTTTCTGTCCATACCTTTGTATATGTGACACTATCAGGCAGAAATCGTGCACCATCAATGTATAAATCAAAACCATTACCAGGACTGAACTCCTCAGTAGCCACAGAAGACCTACCATTCTTTACCCACGCATCCTATGAAGAAAGAAGAACAACACTTAAAATAGTGACTTAAGATGAATAAACATCTGCATTAAATAAATTCTCTAAAAAATTAGAATATTCTCCTTCACGGTTCCCTGCGCCATCTTGAAAGGTAACCGTGCCTTTTCATCGAAGCCAGACAACCGTTGAGCGTGCAATGATAGAAACCTGTGAATAATTGTCTTTTGGTGTGAAAGAAGGTTTCTATCATTGCACGCTCAACGGTCGTCTCGCTTCGATGACAAGGCACGGCTACCTTTCAAGATGGCGCAGGGAACCGTGAAGAAGACTATTGTAACAGTTTAGTAATAATTCAACCGACTCTCGCAATGATATGAAAAAGAAAATATAGTAAACGATTATTTTGAAAATCTAAGTTTCCTTATCATTTTTGAATTATCATTGATAAATGACATGACTTTACAGCGTATCCAGGATTTGCCACTGGGGAAGGGTAGCCTTTCATAACAAATCAGAATGTATATTTTTTGAACATCGTATGACGTKAGCTTCATCAAAAGCTTTAAAGGCCGACTTGCTTCCGAGAACCTTTGTGGTCGCTTGTTTTTCGTTAAAACAGATCTGTTTTTGAAAATTACTTTCAAATTGGTTCGAGATTTAAGATGGCGATTTTTCGTACAAGAAAAATCGCGATTAGGATCTCGGGTAGCAATTAGATCGTAAAAAAGGGGGATATACACTCCCTACAACCTCCTCCTAAATATAACTCTGCTACATGTCTGACAGACAATCCACCATACCTTGGGTAATTCATTATCATCAGTGAATTCATCAGGCATAGTGGATCTCTCAAAGGGCATTCTAAACCCAGAGAATATAGCCATTATAAGAGTAGAATGCCCATACTTAGCCCACTCCTGTGGGGAATGATTTATCTGAAGGAACAAATGATAGTTACCAATAGATATAATAGCCGCATTTCAGGTCGTGAGAGACTGGGYCCGAGACCCAAAGCAAGATGGTAAAAGATCAGTACTTGATGTTAACCCCATGAATTGACACAATGATAGAAAGATATTACAAATTACTGTTTCATGTTATTCACGGGTCAATAATGAACGATTTACAGCTCTTTAAAAATACCGACATTTTTACCAAATGCCCGCACACGTCTTGGAAAATTCTGGAATTTTCAAAGAGCCATTGTTCTCTGTTTATAAGGGATTTTAGCAAAGTAGTCTACATTTAATACAAGTCAATAGAAGTCTCGCCATCTTGGTAATTAAATACTCCATTTTACAGTTCCAAGCGCCAACTTMAAATGTAACCAAGCCTTTGCATCATAGGGAGACTTCAGTGATAGATACCTTTTGTTTACAATTATTACAGATATCTATCATTGTAGCTCAACTTCNATAGGCTGGTATCATTTGTAGATACAAAGCATATCTGGAAGTTTATCACCCACGTTCTTAAAATCTGCATCATAGCGTAGTGCCTTGGGTTTCATCAAAGCATAAGCCACAAAAACACTAAAATCACGCTTGGTTGAATGGATTTAAGATGGTGTATGGAATTAAGGACGAAAGTATAAACGATAGATGAGCAAACAAATAAATAACGGAAAAGATTTATTAATGATGTAGAGGCTACGCAACCGTACTCTCTTAGATCGAAAAGAGTTCGAGTACCTGTTGCCCGGACAAACAGAAATAGATATACCATTATTCAACGCCGATTAACCTCCATCTATTGTACAAAACTTAGCACAGTCTATCTCTTATCTTTTTATCATAATTACTATTTTTTACCGCGGTTTATAAATTCGATTTAATTCTTTTTAGTTCAACTCAATAAAGTATCATTATTATTAATAATAAATGAGTAAAATCCTTTACCTTGTCGACTACCACGTTCACTTGTAACAGCCAACGGTATAAATGTCCAGGCAGCTAACTTATTATCATCTAACAAGTTTGCAGTAGTGCCTTGTTTACCTTGTTCCCCAGGTTGCAGATAGAAACGGATAATAACAAAAGACTGGCTATTCCACTGAACATGGCGAAACAGTGCCTGAAAGTTTACAAGTTTACAAGTTTAATTCAATAAATAATAATAATTTACACATGAGTAGTTAGCGGGCATCGCAATATAACAAATACACCGTTCAGTGAGTAAAAGCAAGAAAAGACTAGTAGTTTTATTGACATTAGTATTCCTTATTCTAATTCTTCTTAATTCCATGCTCTGTCGCTAACTTGTACAGTCAACTCTCGCTATTACGGACACCCTCGGGACCGTAATTTAGTGTCCGCAGTAGCGAGAGTCCGTAGTAACTGAGTTACTTCCAGTCATTTCTTTGTATTTTTCGCCGGGGATTCAGTATTTTACAGTCCGCAATATCGAAGTGTCCGTTATTAGGGGTGTCCGTAAGGCGAGAGTTGACTGTAGAAGCATTCTGCTCATCATCAAATGATACATACCTCTTGTAAGCCAAACACATAGATGTCCTTTAGAAAGTCTGGTTTAAAAGACTTTGTCACACAAACGACTGGAGTATCTCCTGCCGCCTTTAGAATCTAAGGGACAAAAGCAACAGCAAGCAAGGCTATAGTGTATCTGTACAAAATACCGTGAAGCCGTTAAACTCGTGAAACACGATTTCACGATTAAATTGTCATAGTCAAATAGACATAAAAGAAATATGAATTTCGCTCTATCAGGAAATGTATAACATTGTTTATTTAGCAAGCGAACAGGAATAATAGGTTCGCGTAGGATACGGATCGTTGGGTAGGACGCGACTATAAAACGGTAGATTTATGCACAAGTTACCATTCGCGTCCAACGACGTAACGCGTCGTGTTTTCAAAAAAAGGGGGTAGTATGAATTATCGTCATATTTCTTTTAGCACTTTCTTTACATTCCACATTGTTGTATCAAGAAGTTATCTCCAGTGCGAACGGTGTCAGTAAAATGGCAGGCTTACTTTAGTTAATAGCTTATTATCTCTGTATTAGCATAGTTAATATGGTATTAGCGATGATTAGTTCGAACATAGTTAATTATTAACTATGGTTCGAATAAAACACGCGCACACGCTGTCGTGTGGACATCCTCCTGAAGTCTGTGTGATATTAAATGGTAAATGATTTATATTCGGTTGAGCGGGGGAGCGAATTAGAATATAAATCAAGACCACATGGATAGGTTATCGGTCCATTTCAAGTCAACTGCCGTCATGTTAAGGCCGGTTTAGACGGTACAACTTTTGCCTACAACTGTCGCGTGCAAAATGCGTAAGTCATCCTTACAACATGGCTACAACTGTCGTAGGGTTATCAAACAATTGTTTTTAATCTCTACGTCAGTTGCAGCCATGCTGAAATGATGACTTAGACTTGTTGCATGCAATAGTTGTAGGCAAAAGTTGTACCGTCTAAAGCGGCCTTTAGGCTCCCCGGCTTAAACATCTGGGCCAGTTTGTGCAAAACCCGATAAAAGTTCGTACTGGGGCGATTTTTATAGGGGGGGTCCGGAGGCATGCTAAGTTGACCCTTTAACGTTTCCAACTTGATGCCGTAACAGTATAGTCGAGCTCTGATCATCAATTTTTTGTATTTTTTATTTTAATCTTACCGATTTAATTTATTATTAATTTTTCGGAAGNGGCAGCAGTGTAACAAAATGGCGTACAATTCGTCGTTTGAGATTCTCTTTGAAAGTGCTTGTTTGAAGGCTCTGAAGTCGTTTAGCTTGGACGAATTTAGAGAAATACAGCAAAAGGCTCTTAAAGAGATTGTTCTTGGAAAAGATGTCCTTGTTATTCTTCCTATACTGGCTCGGGCAAATCTCTTATTTTTCAAACAGCGCCACTAGTGTATTTTGCTCGTTTTTCTGGCAGATAATACATCCATTTGGATTATTAAACCCTGCACATGTTTTACTTGGGGTAATTTCCATTCCTTTCTCTTTTTTAAAGCGCTAACTATTACATTATATCGCTACTTCGCGAAGTTTTCATTTCACATAATTTCCCGCCTTGTAGCAAAACCTTTACGGCTGTTGTCAGATATTTCACTTCCGTTCACTGAAAAATTCACTTCCGTTACGTCATAATATGCTAATTACACAAAAACGTCACGGACATGCGCGACACGTTTCGAACCCCATGCGCCCAGCCGTCAGGGGAGAGAGTATCGCGGGCGCACGAAATCCCGACGGCTGGAGACTGAGCCTATATAAACTTGGCGTACTAGGGACTTTTTGTGCCGCTTTTCTTACATTTGTTGGAATGGAAGTAACGTCTGGTACAGGAGGAAAATACAAATGAAGACGATGCTTTCCTGCATTTAAACGAACACTGCTTTCTCGACCTGAAACATAACAGTAAATAAATAGGCTGGTATCATTTGTAAAAATGATACAAAGCAAATCTGGTAGTTTATCACCCACGTGCATAAAATCTGCATCATAGCGTAGTGCCTTGGGTTTCATGAAAGCATAAGCCACAAAAATACTAAAATCACGCTTGGATTGAATAGATTTAAAATGGTGTATGGAATTAAGGACGAAAGTATAAACGATAGATGAGCAAACAAATAAATAACGGAAAAGATTTATTAATGATGTAGAGGCTACGCAACCGTACTCTCTTAGATCGAAAAGAGTTCGAGTACCTGTTGCCCGGACAAACAGAAATATATACACCATTATTCAACGCCGATTAACCTCCATCTATTGTACAAAACTTAGACAGTCTATCACTTATCATTTTATCATAATTACTATTTTTTACCGCGGTTTATAAATTCGATTTAATTCTTTTTAGTTCAACTCAATAAAGTATCATTATTATTAATAATAAATGAGTAAAATCCTTTACCTTGTCGACTACCACGTTCACTTGTAACAGCCAACGGTATAACTGTCCAGGCAGCTAACTTATTATCATCCAACAAGTTTGATGTAGTGCCTTGTTTACCTTGTTCCCCAGATTGCAAATAGAAACGGATAATAACAAAAGACTGGCTATTCCACTGAACATGGCGAAACAGTGCCTGAAATACAACAAATACACCTTTCAGTGAGTAAAAGCAAGAAAAGACTAGTAGTTTTATTGACATTAGTATTCCTTATTCTAATTCTTTTTAATTCCATGCACTGTTGCTAACTTGTACAGTCAACGGCTCTTGATATTACAGACACCCTCGGGACCGTAATTTAGTGTCCGCAGTAGCGAGAGTCCGTATTAGCTGAGTTACTTCCAGTCATTTCTTTGTGTTTTTCGCCGGGGATTCAGTATTTTACTGTCCGCATTATCGAAGTGTCCGTTGTAGCGGTGTGTCCGTAAGGCGAGAGTTGACTGTAGAAGGATTCTGCTCATCATCAAATGATACATACCTCTTGTAAGCCAAACACATAGATGTCCTTAAGAAAGTCTGGTTTAAAAGACTTCGTCACACAAACGACTGGAGTATCTCCTGCCGCCTTTAGAATCTAAGGGACAAAAGTAACAGCAAGCAAGGCTATAGTGTATACTGTACAAAATACCGTGAAGCCGTTAAACTCGTGAAACACGATTTCACGATTAAATTGTCATAGTCAAATAGACATAAAAGAAATATTAATTTCGCTCTATCAGGAAATCAAGACCACATGGATGGGTCATCGGTCCATTTCAAGTCAACTGCCGTCATGTTAGGCTCCCCGACTTAAACAGCTGGGCCAGTTTGTGCAAAACCCGATGAACGTTCGTACTGAGGCAATTCGATAAAAAGTTATAAATTTCTCAAAGATTAGCGACAATGGAGCTTAGGACAACCAAGGAAGTGTTAAAATTATAATCAAGGACAGAATCCATGGTCAAGACTAGAACCCATCGCGCCCTGTAAATGCGCCCTATGACTTGCCTACAACAGTTGTACGCAACCTACCACTTGTAGCATGACTTGAACCACGGCTTAAAATCCTACGACTTGTAGTAGGAAAATCGTATACTACAAGTCGTACGCGACAATTGTACCGTAAAATCGGCCTTTAAAGTGGGGAGTGATTCAATTAATTCTTATCCGACACTTACCTCKCCATTTATTCCATTGTAAGCAGTAATCTTTAGCTTAATCTCTCCATCAACAGCATCACGCAACTGATCAACAACTATTCCTAAGATTGACTGATCCRAGGCTGGATTTGGACTTGGCTCTCTAAATACAAAATACAGTCACGGTGAATAGATGAGATTAATAACGATGAGGAATACCGCTCAAACCGCGAATTATTTTTGAACTCTCCCCTATATTTACTATACCAGAACGTTCCGCCAAATACGGCATGACGTCATATTGATGTCTTTAACGAGAACACTACCTGATTTATGTCTTAGATAGGGTCTACACGTTACCAATGTCTTGAATATTCTTCCTCGGGTATTGTTATTCATGAGATAGAGATAATAAGGAATGGGGATAGCGATGGCCTGGGACACGCCTACTATAGACCAAAGCAAGAAGTAAAAACTTGCAGTAAAGCAATTCAAACCCGCCTTCCTTGGGTGGGCAGAAGACGATGTTCTTTCGCGGCTGCCTCGATTAGAGTAACACAAAGAGGACTTTGGAACACATTTTATTATCTCATTTGCATAATCCCCAAGGAATAAAAAAAGCAAATTGAGTTTGAGTTTTTTTCGAATCTGGATCAGATACCCCCTCCCCCTGGGATTGAAAGCAAAACCATATAATTACCGTAGTATACAAAGTATCTCGTACTTTGCCTAGAAAGCGTTAATACCGATGCTTACCTGGTAGTAGCCAAGGATACGGTACCAGGAGTATCAGGAGGAGGGGGTACCGAAGGGGGAGGCAGTGGTGGAACATCATTTACAGGTGCTGTACCAGGAAGAGACACGATTCTATGTCCACTTAACCTTTGCAAGGCTGCAGTATTATCCTAAAATATTATTAAAAGATATTATTTAAGGTTTTTCCATTCTACCTATGTTTCAGTCCATCACACAATGATTTAGATTATCGTTAATAAAATATTCAGCTTACTCAAAATTGATTTTAGATTATGATCTCTTTAAACGGATCTAACATGTTGGGCCAACATTCGTTCGTTCGTTCAGTCGTCCGTCTGTTCGTTCATCCGATCAATCGTTTAGTCGTCCGTCCGTTTGCCGTCCTTCGGTTCGATCGTTCGTTCAGTCGTCCGCCCGTCGGTCCGTTCAGTCGTCCGTCCGTTCGTTCGTTCGATCGTTCAGTCATCCGTCCGTTCGTTCAGTTGCTCGTTCGTTTGCCCATCTATTTCTTTATCTGTTCCCTTATTTATTTATTTTTGATTGATGCACACCCTAACCTAACCCTATACTGTAAGAGCATACTTCAAGTGGTGTTCTACTTCTATATATCTCATTAATCACTAACCAACGCAGGGTAATTGTATGTGTAATGCTGTAGAGGTTGTGATATTCTATTTCTATATATCTCATTGATCACTTACTAACCACAGAAGGGTAATTGTATGTGTAATGCTGTAGAGGTTGTGGTGTTATAATCTCTTCTTGGTTGACATCACGTGCATTGACCAGCCTGATGTACAGTTCTGTCATTCCAACCTGAATAATAAATATATTATTTATGTACAGCCCATCTAGAAAAGGTTGTCAATCTAGTCTTCTTCAAGGTTTTCTGCGCTGTCTTGAAAGGTAGTCGTCGAAGCGAGACGACCATTGAGCGTGCAATGATAGAAACCTTCTTTCACAACTACAGACAATTATTCACAGGTATCTAACATTGCACACTCAACGGTTGTCTCGCTTTGATGCAAAGGCTCGGCTACATTTCAAGATGGCGCAGGAAACCGTGAAGAAGACTACTGTCACGTGTCTTGATATACATTTCTTAAATCTGCACGTGAAACATTTTCTTATGTCCATTTATTGTTTAAAAATGCCTTGTCATTTCTCCAATAAAAACTCAACCTCATTCTAGAACATTTTAAGTGAATACTCTCACATTCTAATTGGAACATAGGAAATGTCTTATTAGATGGACTTCGTGCTGTGCAATTTTCGCCTGAAATCAAACTTGCAATTACAATCAATCCTTACAAACTCGATAACTTAATATTAATGACAGTTTTTAAACGCTAATAGCTTACTTGTGGAATTCTGTTRAGTTCATGCATGCTTAGATATGTCTTGATTGGCGGCACACGGAACGGGATTTTCCATCTAAATTTTTATCAGACAAAAAGTAAAAAGTAAATCACTTTAAACATAAACCTTTTTTAGTTTCTGCATAATATTATGTWATGTCCTCTTSCATGTAGAAACCCTGGCCATGACCTCTTTCAAAGACAAATACAGTTAACTCTCTTTGAACGACCACTCTCGTAAGCGACCATCTCCCGTAAACGACCACCTTTTAAATTTCCCATTTTGTTAATTACCATAAAAATTCTGTAAAAAAAAACTTTCTTGTAAGCGACCATCTCTCGTAAGCGACCACTTTTTCYTGATCCCGAGGTGGTCGCTTACGAGAGAGTTGACTGTACTTTTTACTTTTTAAAGATGGATAAAAATTGCAAAAAATATCATTTTCTGACTGTTGATGTAGTATGAAGATTCCTTTTAAGCTTATAATTAAGAAATCAGTTTTCTCGGTGTCTAAACCAATAAACCAAATCATATTGATGTCATGCGACATAATAGAGAGAATTTTGCATGTATGGTACCAACAGCCCACCCCCACCCCATAACAAATCCTGGACACGCCCTTGTGGTGACACAGTCCTTACCTGCCACTAATCAGCCTGTCCATAGGATCAAACAAATCCATCTTTGTCCATCCCTTAGAGTAGAGTTTCTCRGAGTTTTCTCTCTTATCGATATTGTTTGCTTGAAGTTCTGCTACTAAGGAGAGTGTTTGCAATGGAGCACATCTGCAAATGAAAGACAGTAAAGTGACCAAGTTTCAAATGAAAGAATATTTATTTTCCGTCTTTTTTTCCTCAAAACGTTCCTAAAACTCGGGGTGCGGCTTATCTACGAGAGCGGCTTATACATGGGTAAATACGGTATTATAAACGTGCTTTATCAAATTCATTAAGGTAAACACAGTTGGAAATCATTGCTGTGAGCACTTCTTTATATGAGCAAGAGATTTGTCCTGATTTGAATATAACTTTAACTTTGATTTTCGCTTAAAAATTTTATGTTGAACTTTTTTGGAAAATATGCTTTTATAGCTTATGTTGGAATTTGATAAGAAATACATGTATGAAATATTCGCGTCCGACCTTTATGGGCTTAAAAACTGCTCGCTTGCAGCTCGCTCATATTTTATATATTGCATACGATGTCATTTCTTGAACATGTTGGTGCCTCATCATATGACCCAAAGACTATTATATTATTTTAAACATCTTCTAGG